CACACGCTCACCGTACAACCCACCCACACCCACTGCACAGGCCTCCCACACCCACGCTCACCTACCCACACCCACGCTCACCGCACAGCCCACCCACACCCATGCTCACCCACCCACACCCACACCCACCCTCACCCACCCACACCCACACCCACACCCACCCTCACCCATGCTCACCCACCCATACCCACGCTCACCCACCCACACCCACGCTCACCCACCCACACCCACGCTCACCCACCCACACCCACACCCACCCACACCCACACCCACACCCACACCCACCCACACCCACACCCACACCCACGCTCACCCACCCACACCCACACCCACCCACACCCACACCCACACCCACACCCACCCACACCCACACCCACGCTCACCCATACCCACACCCACCCTCACCCACGCTCACCCACCCACACCCACCCTCACCCACACCCACCCTCACCCACGCTCACCCACGCTCACCCACACCCACAACCACCCTCACCCACGCTCACCCACGCTCACCCACGCTCACCCACCCACACCCACACCCACACCCACGCTCACCCACCCACACCCACACCCACACCCACACCCACCCTCACCCACACCCACACCCACAACCACCCTCACCCACGCTCACCCACGCTCACCCACGCTCACCCACGCTCACTGCACAATCTTCTGAAGCTTAAAGTTTATAGTTTGCTCATGACCTGAATTTCAAATCTAACTCAAAACTGAAGTGGTATTTTTCCAAATGGTTTGGTTATTAGACATATTAGACAAGTGGGCTTCTGACTTGGAAGGACTCCTCCCCACCTGACCAGCCCGTCCTCTAGCGGTGCACTAGCTCGTCTTTGCTAGTCTTCCCAGAGCAGCAAACGCATTCAGACTTGTACAGCCCAAGAAGTGGAGATGCCATCGCTCCCCTAAACATCCGACATGAGCCAGAGGAGCATCTGGAGCGGACGGTGCGTGCGCCCCAGGCCTCCGCTGCTCAGACAGGGGAGCAAGGCTCTGCTCCTCCGGGTGAGGGCCGCCAGCAGCAGGGCCTGGCCTAGACTGGCTCCCCACTGAAGTCTCCTAAACCTGAATGTGGAAACGAATGGTTCGTTTCCCCACCATTTCCCCCTTTTACAGAGTAAATAAATACAAACAGGAATGGAAATAACCATTTCAGCTTCGATGATCCACATCTCCCCTCAGACCAACAACAGCCATTTACTACAGACCCACCCTACTTGGAAACTGATGGTTCTGAATGGAAGTCCTGGGGCTGGAGGTGTGGCTGATGTGGTAGAGCACCAGCCCAAGAGTGAATACAAGTCTTGGTCTCAGGGGAAAAAGGGAAGGAGAGGGGAGGGGAGAGGAAAAAGGAGAGAGAAGAGGAGAAGGGAGGGGGAGGGGAGGGGAAAGGAAAGGGAAAGGAATGGGGAAGAGGAGGGGAAGGGAAGGGGAGGGGGAGGGGGAAGGGAAAGGGGGAACAGAACGGGGAGAGGAAGGGGGAAGGGAAAGGGGAAGGGGAAGAGTAGAGGGAGGGGAGGAGAAGGGGGAGGGGGAGGGGAAGGGGAAGGGACAGAGAAGGGAGGGGAAGGGAAGGAGGGAAGAAGGAGGAGGAGGAGAGGAAGAGGAGGGGGAGGCAAAAGGAGGGGGAGAGGAGAGGGGGAGGGGAGGGGAAGTAAAGGGGAGAGGAGAGGGCTGGAAGGGAAAAGGGGGGGAGGGGAAGGGAGAAAAAAAGGGAAGGGGAGGGGGAAGGAGGGGAAAAGGAGGGGGAGGGGAGGGAGGGGAAAAGGAAGAGGGGAGGGAAGGGAAAAGGGCAGGGCAGGGCAGGGCAGGGGAAGTCCTCTCTGGTCTGTGACCAGAAAAGACGGGGAGGGGTCCTGACCAGTGTTTCTGAGTGTGAGGATGTGGCCGGCACTGGCCCTCTGGAGGAAGGGGAACACCCCGTCTGAGATAACTTGGGCCCAGGCCTGTCTGCGGACAGGGAGGCCGCCTCCTCTCATGAGCACTTCGGGCGGACTAGGGGAGGGCGGGCGTGAAGAGGGCCACTTTCTGGGTATGGACACAACTCCACTTAGTGAGATCTGAGATGAGTCAGGTAGTTCTCGCCCCAAAGCTTACACCCTCCAGGAGAAGGATGAAGGGGCCACGTTGTTTCTCAAGGACACACACACACACTGGATCCTACGGTTGGCCTGTCAAAATTCATGTTTGGTTCTCTGTCTGTGGGAAAGTTGAAGAACTGTAATCACTCTGCTAACCAAATGTCTGTTTACTCTTTGAACAGCATAATTATGTAAAAGCAAAACAAATTACACTAGCAAGTATCCCCTAGTCTCAGTCATTTGCAAAAAGCAAAGCCACGCAGTGGGCATGGTCTGGCCTGGAACATGTCAACATCTTCGAGGGATGAAAGCCTGGATCCCGATGAGGGAAGCACCGCACCGGCACCCTGAAGACCGCCCTGGACCGACTGGAACCCAGGAGGTCACACAAGGCCTGACCGTGCCATTTCCGAAGAATGGCTTTGGTGGGAAGGAGCTAATTACCAGGCAAAGCAGACTCTCAGTGCTGGCTGGACGTGATGTCATGGTGAGTACTGCCGTGTGCTGCCACTGTGCTGTGCCCACAAAGCACCTCTTATGGAGGAGAGACGCCGCACCTCTTCACCCCAGGCGCGGCAAACCAAACACCAAAAAGGAGGACCAGTGTTCTTGTTTGTTCTGAGATGAGAACAAGGGAGTCACCAGGAGGCGACTCACACTTCCCGGCTCACACTTCCCGGCTCACACTTCCCGGCTCACACTTCCCGGCTCACACTTCCTATCGCGGCGCTTCCTGCTCCACTCAGCTCTCCTAGAGCCACAGTGCACCACGAGGCAGGAGGTCTGCTCTGATAGAGCCAAGATCCGAACGTTGTGCAGTGACACCACAGATGATGAGCGGCAGTTCCAGTGTTTGCCACTCTTTTCTATGGACCAATGGCACCAAAAATACCACGGACCAGCTGTTCTCAACAGCTGCCTTTAATCCTCGGGACCCACTGGACACACACTGATCTTTACCTCTGCATTACAGACAAGGAAACTGAAGTCCAGAGCAGCCGCTTACCTGCCTGGGCCACTCCCCACAGGGCACAAGCCATCCGCCCGTGCACAGCCCAGACTCTGTGCCTCCGAGCCACTAAGCCTTGCAGACAGGAGCCGGGTTTTTGGACAAGGACTCAGGGAACCAAGGAGTTTCGGGGGGAAAAAAACCAAAACACCAAGATAACAGAAGGTGATTTGAAAAGAGATTCGCACCAGAGAAAAATCCAGGACACCTAGCATTCACCAGCAAGCAGTCATCCAGATTTGAATCCCAGCTCCAGTGCTTTTTATCCTTACTCCATTCCTGATTTTCTAGGCTGGAGGCAGGGCAGTAGAGAACATCCCACATATTTTGTAGCCTGAAACATTCCTCCACGCAAAAGAAACGCTGCCTCATATGCAAGGTGATTCGAAGGCAGCGTGCTTTTGGAATGTGGAGAGGGAGGCACCTCATGCCGCGTAAGATCAGCTCCATGGACCCCACAGCTGGCTGGTTCCAGGGCAAGCCAGGAGATGCTGGAGCAACATGGAGAGAGGCAAGGGGTTTAAACCCAGAGGATTCCGGAAGATCACAGGAGAAAAGACAAAACCGACTGAATTTTACACTGGTCTGAGTACTGAGTGGCACGTGTGTGTGCGTGCAGGTGCACACGCACACAGGCGGCAGGGGAAGACCTCCACCCCGCTCTGTTAGGAAAGCCAAGATACCTGCACGCGGTAGCTGCGAAGACCTCCACCCGCTCTGACCCGACCTCGGCTCCTCACCTGGGCTCCCAATGACCCTCAATGCGCTTGCGCTTCAAGTGTGGGTGAGACCCTAGGCCTGTGCTTCCCGCTGTCCACGCGCGCCTCAGCCCCCTCCCCCTCTCTCCCCCCCACGCAGCCCTCCTCCAGGACCCTGGGGAGGTAAAAGACAGACGGAGTGCGTGAGAACTTCCAGGCTGCAGCTGCACTTCTAATCTGGCCCCAGAAGAATCTAAGGTATGAGCACCGCGATGAGCGCCATGGGCACCGCAGCCCCTCCGCCCCGCGCTCTTCTCCTGGGACCCACACCCGGGAAGCGCCACCCTCCTGCACCTCTAACACTTGCTCAGAACACACTTGCCAGGGATGTTTTCCTTTCTGCAGATTGCATTCATTATGGCAGCGGGCGCGCGGTTCGCCAGCGCCGGGCGCTGCAGAGCAGCCGCGGTCGGCTCAGCCTCTGGCACTGGACACCCAGGGCCACACCGCAGCCGGGAGAGACCAACGCGGGTGGGGTCCCGCTGGGCTCCCGGGCTCCTGCCTGGGGGAGGCCCGCGGGCGGGGGACCGGAGGGAAGCGCTGCGCCCCGCGCTCCCTGTCCCCGCGCCCCCGCCCCCTACGCCCCGCGCCTCGGGTCCCCGCGCCCCGCGCCCCTGGCCCCTGCGCCCCGCGCTCCCGCCCCCTGCGCCCCGCGCCCTCGCGCCCCCTGTCCCCCGCGCCCCCGGCCCCTGCGCCCCGCGCCTCGCGTCCCCGCGCCCCGCGCCCCCGCCCCCTGCGCCCCGCGCCTCGCGTCCCCGCGTCCCGAGCCCCTGCGCCCCGCGCCCCCGGCCCCCGCGCCCCGCGCCTCGCGTCCCCGCGTCCCGAGCCCCTGCGCCCTAGGCCCCCGCGCCCCGCGCAGGCTCACTAGCCGGGTCCCAAAAGGCGCCCCCGCGGAGGGGGCCGCGGGCCGAGGCGCCCTCGCCCGGCGCGGCCACAGCCCGGGGCTCAGGCCGGGTCTGCCTGGCGGGGGGGCGGCGGTCTCGGGCTCCACGCCCAGGGCGCCCGGTCGGGATGGCCCTGGGCCGGGGTCCGGCTCGCCCGGGGCTCCAGAGCCACCTGTCCCCGCGCCTCGGGGCCCCGGCGCGCGGGGAGCGCGGGCCCGGCCAGGCCGGCCTCGGGGCCCCGCGTGGGACTTACCGTGAGCGCCGAGAACTTCTGCGCGGGCGCCGGCGGCAGCAGCCCGGCCAGCAGCGGCAGCCAGCAGAGCTGAGGCGGCAGCATGGTGGGCGCCGGCCGCGCGTGGGCCCCGCCGCGCTCCCCGCCCGGCGACGCCCGCGCCCCGCGCCCCGCGCCCGGCAAGGCGACGGCGGAGCCCGCGGAGGATGCGACGCCTCGCCTGGCCTCGCCTCGCCTGGCCTCGCCTCGCCTCGCCTGGCCTCGCCTCGCCTGGCCTCGCCTCTCCTCTCCCTCAGCTCCAGGCACCCAGCCCCGCGCGGTCCGGCTGCTGTCAAATACTCTCGGCTTCTCGGTCCGCCCGCCCTCGGCGCGGCCCCGCCCGCCCCCGGCCACACCTCCCCGCCGCTCCAGCGCCGCCGCCCAGGCCGCGCAGAGGCGCTGCAGCCCGGCCCCTTCCTACACACATCCCCGCGAGCACACGGAGGGCGCACCGCGCCGCGCGCAGCGCCTGCAGGGGAGAGCCTGCACACCCACTGCACCCACCCCCCCGCTCCACCCCACCCCCGGGGCCCTGCGTCAGCCACCGGGCTACAGCAGGAGTCCGCGGGCGGCCTGGCTCGCGGGGCCCGATGGCCAGGCCGCCCCTGCAGACCAGACCCTGGCCCGCTGTGGCCGGCCGGCCGCGGGCTCTTCAGCCTGGCAGCTGCGCTCAGCCACACACTGCAGCACTGGATGCCAGGCGGCCTCTGCCCAGGTCAATCCACGGCTAGCCGCTGCACAGCACCTGGGCGAAGCAGGTCCAGTGTGCCTGCGGGGGGACAGAGGGTCCCCAGGCCAGCACCGTGCAGGGGGGCATGGGGTGAGCTCACGCCCAGGCCCCGTACCCTCCACTGCGGACAACACTGTGGACAGCCTCACAGAAAAGGCCTTCATTTGGCTGCATGCAGAAAGCCTCAAGAAGAACGAGTTGATTGGCTTGGGGGGATGAGGAGGTTCAGAACAGAACATCGCCCCCCACACACACATCTCCCCCCCCCAGTCCTTCTCAGGGTCAGGGTCTGCAAGGCAGGCAGGCAGATGGGGAGGGAGGGAGGGAGGGAGGCGGCCTCAGAGTGAGCCTCGGGCGCTGGCTTGCGGCGGCGGGGGAAGCAGGTGGGCACGCAGCTGCAAACGATTAACTCAATCAGGAGCGTTATTAAGAGACTTAAATAAAAATTAAAAATAAAACAAATACCACATGGTGCTAATTCCGAGACTATTCCAAGATGAAAAAGGTCACCTCCAAAGGTGACAAGCCTCCTCTCAAAACGTATTTGCTAACATGGGTTTTCTTCAGCTTTCTCTCTTTTGAGAAGTGCAAACCTTTGGCTGACATTGTTGAAATGAGACGCTTTTCTCTAGAAACCCAGCAGTCTGGACCCCACCCCACCCCCCAAGCCTGGGCACCCCCATCCCCCAAGCCTGGGCACCCCCACCCCCCAAGCCTGGGCACCCTTACCCCCCAAGCCTGGGTACCCCCACCCCCCCTGGGCACCCCAACCCCCAAGCCTGGGCACTCCCACCCCCCCTGGGCACCCCACCCCCCAAGCCTGGGCACCCCACCGCCCAAGCCTGGGCACCCCCACCCCCCCCTGGGCACCCCACCCCCCCTGGGCACCCCACCCCCAAGCCTGGGCACCCCCACCCCCCCAAGCCTGGGTACCCCCACCCCCCCAAGCCTGGGCACCCCCATCCCCCCTGGGCACCCCACCCCCTGGGCACCCCCCAAGCCTGGGCACCCCACCCCCCAAGCCTGGGCACCCCACCCCCCCTGGGCACCCCACCCCCTGGGCACCCCCCAAGCCTGGGCACCCCACCCCCCCAAGCCTGGGCACCCCCACCCCCCCTGGGCACCCCACCCCCCAAGCCTGGGCACCCCCGCCCCCCCTGGGCACCCCACCCCCCAAGCCTGGGCACCCCCACCCCCCAAGCCTGGGCACCCCCACCCCCCCTGGGCACCCCCACCCCCCAAGCCTGGGCACCCCACCCCCCAAGCCTGGGCACCCCCACCCCCCAAGCCTGGGCACCCCCACCCCCCCAAGCCTGGGCACCCCACCCCCCAAGCCTGGGCACCCCCACCCCCCCAAGCCTGGGCACCCCACCCCCCTGGGCACCCCCACCCCTCCTGGGCACCCCACCCCCCCAAGCCTGGGCACCCCAACCCCCCTGGGCACCCCACCCCCCTGGGCACCCCCCCAAGCCTGGGCACCCCACCCCCCCGGGCACCCCCACGCCCCCCAAGCCTGGGCACCCCAACCCCCCCTGGGCACCCCACCCCCCTGGGCACCACACACGGAAAGGAAAGGCTTCTTCTCTCACCTTGTGCAGAAAGGACAGAAAGCAAGAGGTCAAACGTCCCCTGGGCCAGAGCGGGGGAGACTCCAGAGGGCAGAGCCTACCACGGGCGATCTGCTTCTCTCCCTCTGGAGACACGGACAGCAGAAGCAAGCCCCTCCGCGTTTTGAGCCCAGGAATCTCACCACATTCTTCATGTGTCAAGCCCAGAATCCTTGGGGATTTCAGAAATCTCGGTGTTACATATTTGTCCGAGACACTGACAGATGAGGCAGAGTTGGAGGTTCTGTAAAGATCCAGAGGTGTTTGCACAGACTGAAGGCCAAACTTCACTTTCTTGAAGGGCCTACAAGTGGAGTGGAGTGGGACAGCCAGTCTCCACTTTTGTGGAGAAAAGCAATATTACACATTTAAAGTGTTATTTAAATATTGTGTGCAACACTGGGACATGGCTGTGTGTCCGTCTGCTAGGCACAGGTCTCTGAGGATGTCACCCGGGCAGAAAGCCAGAGAAAGGACCCCTCAGAGAGGACCCTAAGTAACCTCACTGTTCCCAGACAGGAAGCAACCAACCCAGGCTTTCCACATGTACAGATAAGCTGTCCCGCGCAGAGAGAAGTTTCTTCTCTTCGAAGCGTGTTTTCATTTAAATTACAAGTGACGCATGCCCCCCTCTTACAATGTAGCTTATGGATCCAGAATGTAAACTTCTGACACTGATGGAAGTGACATCAAAGTAAAACGAGAGAAACTTCATCATCACCACACCAAGAGAAATTCCACCCAGTATACTGACTAGTCTCACCCTGCTCCCTCTAGCCACTGGTGCTAGCTTAGTGTCTATTTACTGTAAAATGCTACATCCGCACCGTGATTTCCATTCCAGTTACACACATGCCATAACTTAACTATGGCTGCTGGCTTCTTTGTCCTTAGCTAGAACACTTCCTGTTGACCATTTTCCAGCGGTATAAAATCCAAGTTTAACCAAACATGGCTGTGTTGCTCAGTGACTCTCCAAGCCCACCTCAGCTGTAATTCTGCCAGGTGAGACAGGACCGGCACCAGCACCCTGGGGGAGTGTGCACAAAGCACTTTGCCAGCCTCCTGTCCCTGTGCTATTTTCTCCAAATTTCCATTTTATCCTGAGAGGTTCACCTCAGTTCCCTGGGATAAATTCTGTGTTCCTGTCCCTCTAGACTGCCTCCCGCCCCTGGGCAGGCGGCTGTCAGCTTCCAAGCCTCTGTCCCTGTCTGGTGGCCGTCTTGCTTTACTTTGTTCCTCTCGGGTGACAAGCGGGCCTGTGGTCGGGTCCTGCAGCTCAGACTGCTGCAGCGCCACCACACTCAGCACCACGCCCGGTCCACTGCAGAGCCACCTACACGGTGATGGGACTCACAGCGCATCCGTCCACGGAGCCGAGGAAAGGCCCAGCGTGGCGCAGACAGCAGGAGGGCCAGGTGAACCTGACAACGCTGGCCTTAGCTCACTGATCTAAACTGCCTTTGCGTTTTCCTCCTCTGAGCCTAATCAGAGTGCCTTCCTCCTTTCTTCCTAGGGGATTGGGGAGGGGGCCTGTTTTTAAAATGAGGAGCACTCTGGGGAAGTAAGGACCACACAGAAACAATGTATCCCGACAGAAAACAGTGTAAGAAGATATCCAATAAAGAAAGCTTTCAATTACCTTCAGCAATTCCCCTCCTCCTCCTTCTCTTCCAGGTCGTCTTGCAGGCAGGCAGGAATTCCATTCACCCCCCCCCCCCCAGGGCCCTCCTCTTTCCCCTCTCCCTGGGCTCTAAGCTGAACATTAAGATGTACCCTACAGAAGGAAAAGCCTTGAGGTATTTCAGATAAACAGCCTCCTGCCCAGGACACGTGGCGATCTAAACGCTCGTGTGTGAGAAATGTCTCCTACTGTCCCCGGCGGGGCTCCACACCCAGGCAGCCATCCCCCACAATGACCCCCACCTCAGAACCCTGCCGGCATCTCCTTAGGGCGCTTCCTCCTCAGAGCCAGGGTCCCTTGCTGTCTTCAGACCAGGAAGCCATGACTTTTGTCTTGGCTAGTTTTACTTCCATCCTGGGACAATCTCTGACTCCTTTCGTCTTAAAGAAGAGATTCAGCTACACGGCTTTTGGACTATTCTGTCCCTAGTTATCCATGCCCAAAGAAAACCAGATTTATTAATTCCTGTGCAATAATTTAGTCACGAGAGCAAGCAGACCACTGGGTCTGCAGGTGGAAATCCTGCAAAGTCTGGGCACACACAACTGGCTCCTGTACCTGCCACACGTCCAGTGCTTTCTATGGGGCCTTAACTTCTAGCATCCTGTGCCTTCTCCAGCTTGCAAAAGGAGCTTTTCTGTGCACGGGTGCTCACCATGCTGCAGGCATGGGCGGGCCCTGGGGCCCGTGGGCGGCCGGGGTGCTGCCGGGGTGCTGGCGGGAGGCAGGTGGAGCCTCCCGGCTCCATGCTCCTTGGTAAGACTTGTCTGTTTGGACCTTGGAACTCACACCCCCCGCCATCTGGCTGTGACTCTTGTGCGTGTGTTCCAGCATCTCCAGAACTTTCTCCACAGCAGTGCCAGCTCTGACCCCAGTCATCACCAGACACGCAGAGCAAGATGAGCTCTTCAGTTCTGTGTGACATACAAACACAACTAGGTATGTTTTCAAGTTGAGATGGAGTTAGGAGACCATGTGACCCCCTGGAGCTGTACCTGGGGGGGGGGGGGCAGTTGCTAGTTGTGGGCTCTTGGGACCACAGACGCCTGCATTTTAATCAGTCAGCTGGGTGAACCTTGCAGCCC